GCAGCCTCGACCTGCTGGGCTCCGGCGATCCTTCCGCCTCAGCCTTCCCAGTAGCGGGAACTACAGGTGCGCACTAACACACCCAGCTATTTTTGATTTTATTGTCGAGTTGAGGTCTCGCCAAGTTGCCTGGGCGGGTCTTGAACCCATGGGCTCAAGCAATCCACTTGCCTTGGCCTTCCAAAGTGCTGGGATTACAGACTGAGCCATCGAGCCTAGCCCTGCACACTGTTTTTTTTTAAGTTTAGCAGGCTCAGCCTTTCTTATAAATGGCATATGTTTGGGAAGCCAACGGTCTGCTGGTCACTTCCTTTGGATGAACAACAGTTATTTCCAAGTCAACATGTCCAAAAACCTACTTACCACCTGCCCTCCATTCAAAACCTCGGTATTTTCTATTATCTGAAAGTTAACCAGACCTGACCTAAGATCATGCCAAATTCCTCCCTTTCTTCAATCATAGAGAATTCTGGGTAGGCTCCATCTACTTCAAGTTCCTAATTCTAAGGTCTGTTGAATGAATGAATGAGACGCTCATCCCTTCCCCCTTGAACTATTGCCATGCCCTTCTGATTGGCATCCAGCCTCCACCCTCGAGGTTTCTCTATCCCAGCCCCAATGTATTTCCCACAGTTCCCAAAATAACTGTTCAAAATGCAAATGCACGCTCCTTTGGCTAACAGACTTTAACAGCACCCTCCCCACCCCCTTTCAGGCTACGTTCTAAGTGTATTAACACAGAATATGAACGAGGTCTTTCAAGATCATTTCCAGCCCTACCTCCTGTACTCCCTCATTTCTAGACCAAGTTCCAACCATGATGACGTTACTGCAGTTCCAAGACTATGCAAATGTACTCACATCTCCATACCTTCACACATACATGTTCCCCAAGCCTGAAGAGGCCTCTACCCTTCACTGGCTGGGAAGGGTGTGTAGTAGTTGAGGGCACATGCTTAGGAATAAGACACTGGCTCAAGACTTGGCTCAAGCATGCCTCTGTTGTATAACCTTAGGCCAGTTATTGACCATCTCTGCACATCAATTTCCTCATCTATAAAATGGGAATAGTGATTGTAGACACTTCACAGAGATTTTGCTAAGATTTAACAAGATAGTGGACATGAGGTTTTTATTGTAGTACCTTTCACATATACAGCAAGTGCTCAATAAATGGCAGCTGAAGAGTTTGCTGGTGTTTGCTCTTCCTGTTAAGCACAGTTGAGATGTACAGTCTGTCCGCCTGCCCTATCACCCCTTGGCTGTATTTTTCCCCCCTCCTTCCTGCCCACCCCCCCGCCTTCTGTCCAAGTGCTGTCACTGCACATAGACTGTGCAATTCCTGTCTTACTTACCTGATCTCTCTGTTAGGCTCAGAAGATAAAAACAGTGTCATCATTTGATACCCTAAGACTCTAACCCTGGGTTCAAAAGTGGTATTCAATATATTTCTTATGAATGTAAAACACTTAAGGTACAAACCTCCAAGACAGGAAAACCTAAAAATTATATGGGAGAAGATTCACTCTTCCTCCATATTTCAAGAGAATCCTTCACTGCTTCTCCCTTCTATAGACCTGATTACAACATCGTGGAGCTGCATATTTTAGTGGAAAAAAATCTCCAGTTAGTCACATGGTTGGATAGAAAAATTCCTTACAAATCACATGAATGTGTCTGAGAATGATCTCCCTGGAGGGTGAAGTTTAAGCTGGGTCTTGAAGGATGAGTAAGAATGTCATGGGAAATAAAGAACTTTCTAGGCAGTGTAAGGAACATGTGCACAGCAGAATGAAGAAAGTGAGTGAATGAAAACAGAAAATGAGTTAGGTGGTTCTTAGAAATGAGGTTGAAAAAGATGATTAAGAAAAATGGATGGGGCTTGGTGGCTCAGCCTGTAATCCCAGCACTTTGGGAGGCCAAGGTGAGTGGCTTGCTTCAGCCTGCAGGTTTGAGGCCAGCCTGGGCAACTTGACAAAGACCTCGTCTCCACAAAAGAAAAGAAGAAGAAGAAGAAGAAAAAAATAGCCGGGTATGGTAGTGGGTGTCTGTAGTTCCGGCTACTTAGAAGGTTGAGGTGGAAGGATCTCCAGAACCCAGCAGGTTGATGTTGGGGTGGCCGTGAGTTCGAGACCAGCCTGGGCAATGGTGTGAGATACCAACTCAAAACAAAACAAAACAGAAAAACGGTAAAGGCTTTCTTAACTGTCACATTGAGAAGTTTAGACTTGATATCCTAAGCACTAGCAAATCATTCAGATTTATTTTCATTTTAAGATAACATTGATAGTGGCACCCAGAAAAGACTGAGGGCAGAAAGGAAAAGAAGAAAGGGAGATCCATTAAGAGACTACTGCAACAGTTCAGGTAAATAACAACCGGAGAGAAGGCCTAAAACTTAAAATAATCAACAGAAATCATATGTGGCAGATAAGGGAGATAAAGAGGGAAATATTGAAATAACTAACCAAATAGTTAGACTGTGGATTGATTATAGAAAAAAAGAGACTTGAAGATTTGGAGCTAATATTCTTTCAATATTTAATAGACTGAGTATTAAAGTACCCATGATACAATGAAATGGAAAAGTTCAGTAGATCCCATGATATATGAACTGGAACTTAAGAAGAAAGGTCAGCGCTATAAAGACTTGGGAACTACCACCAAGAATATAGCTAGTAATTGAAATTGTGAGCATAACCATGATTGCTAGAACAGGGGTCCCCAACCACCTGGTTCATGGCCTGTTAGGAACCGGGGTGCACAGCAAGGGGTGAGCAGCAGGGGAGGGAGTGAATCTTCCTCTGTATTTACAGCCACTCCCCATTGCTTGCATTACTGCCTGAGCTCTGCTTCTTGTCAGATCAGTGGTGGTGTCGGATTCTCATAGAAGCATGAAGTCTATTGTGAACTGCACATGGGAGGGATATAGACTGTGCACTCCTTATGAGAATCCAATGCCTGAAGATCTGAGGTGGAGCTGAGGCAAGGATGCTAGTGCTGGGGAGTGGCTGCAAATACAGATTAACATCACAGCGAGGTTTGACTGCACACTGCCCCTGCCCTCCATCCGTGGAAAAATTGTCTTCCATGAAACCAGTCCCTGATGCCAAAAAGTTGAGGACTGCTGGCCTACCTCTGTAACACAAATAGAGCAGGTGGCAGAGAATAAAATCTTGGAGAACACCAGTGTTTATGAAGCAAATCGTCTAAGGGCAACAAACCAAGGAAGAGAGAAAGAAAAGTGAGAGAACTAAGCAAGGCAGCAGAGAGTCCCACTGCAGACACTCAAGGAGGGTCTTCACTCGGACAAAACTGACACAGGGTGGGATGCGTGAATGCAGTCTCTGGATTGGAAACTGCATCACTAGCTTCTTCATTTGCGGCGATGTCCGTGGACTAGTGGAATTAGCTGCAGATGGCACTCGGGAAGTGAACGAGAAAGAAGAAAGAAGATGACCTTATCAAGCACTTAAAATATATTAAGTGGCAATGATTCTTTTTCACTACATTTGACAGTGTTGAAAGCAGAGAGGGCAGCAACTGAGAGTGTGGGGGCGGGAACAAGGCAAGGACTTTTTGGTTCTTCTTTTGGAGTTTTTGTTTTGTTTTTTAATATGGGGGTAAAACTTGATTATCTAAAAGCTAAGGGGCAGCCGGGCTTGGTGGCTCAGCCTGTAATCCCACGCTTTGGGAGCCTGAGGTGAGTGGATTGCCTGAGCCCGTGGG